AAGAAAAGTCATGCTACCTTTAGAAATAAAAATGCTACTACTTATGCCATGGTACCTGACTTCTTTTTAAAAGATTGATTTATTTGAAAGATAGTGGGAGAGACAGAAAAAGATAGAGCTCTTCCATTTGCTGATTTACTCACCAAATGGATGCAATTGCTGGAGCCTAGAATTTCCTATAGGTGTAGTACATGGACATCCCAGGCCTAAGCATTTGGGCCATGTTCTGCTGCTTTCCTAGGTGTATGAGCAAGAATGCTGGAACATAAGTGTGGCCTGGGAATGCAGTGGAGGATGGCCCAAGGCCTTGGGATCCTGAACCCTCATGAGAGACCTGGAAGAAGCTCCTGGTTTCAAATTGGCTTAGCTTTGGCCATTATGGCCACTTCAGGAGTGAGCCAGCAGAAAGATCTTCTCTTTCTCTCCTTGCACATCTGCTTTTCCAATAAAAATTTTAAAAAATCTTAAAAATATGGTGTGCACAAACCCTTTCAAGTCACTTGGCATGCCTGATTTTAATCCTTCTTGAAAGCTGCATAGTATTTTATAATATAGATGTATCATAATGTATTTAACCAGTTTTCCATTTATGACCATTCATTTTGCTTATAAAGCTGCTTCTCCTAACAATGCTGCAACAGTTATCTTTGTATGTATTATCTTAAGTGTTGATTCTTTGATGTCTCATGCATTGCCTAATGCAGGCGGTCAGTTATAACATATATTGTAAGATAACTTTCCACAACTGTCAGGAAACTTGTTTTTCTGCTGGCAATATAGGAGAGAATTATATTCCCCTTAAGCTATATATTCATATAGGGAGAACTGACATAGTCTTTTAATTCAACAGAGTGGTTATCTTGTTTATTTTGAATAATAATTTTTTGTTTGTTCATGTACATTTCTTGCTATATTTATTCTGAAACATATCAGGTTTTTTTCCTTAAATGAACTGTTTTTCTCCATTTCATTCCTAGCTGACAATTAGAGAGAGAGAGAGAGAGAGAGAGAGAGAGAGAGAGAAAATCCATTGATTCATTCCCCTAAGAGCCAGGACTGGACCAGGGTGAAACCAGAAGTTGATGACTCAATTCAGGTCTCCCATGTAGGTGGAATGGGCCCAATATCTTGGGTTGGGTTGTCATTTTGTATTCTGGGATTCTTTCAGTTTTCTGTTAGAATGGTTAAGTAAAAACTTTACTGATCAAGGTTACTGAGAGAAGATCATGCTATGTCACATTAATGGAATGGAGTTTAGTCATGATGGGGAAGATTCTGGAGAATGTAGCCATGTTTCATTTGTGAGCTGAGATGATGATGATGATGAAGATAAGTGGATACAGAACCATCTGAGACCAGCTATGGACAGGGATGCCATCCATATGAACCATCACCTTTCAGTGTGCATAAATAGTTATACATTTGCTTCTTGATCCCCTCTTTGTCCCTTAACTGTGTCATCCCTGCAAGCTGTAAGCATCAAAGCCTATAATTTTTTTGTCCTGTTGATGATTGGCACCAGAACATAGAAAACAACATTTCTAGACCAAGTAGTCTAAGTAATACTACTTGTATAAGCTATTAGTGGGTGTCCAAAGAGTTTCATCAAGCATATATATCTTAGGACTTCTTACAAGAATAAAACCAACTCTAGATTTTGAGTAGAATGCTGAAAAGAATGGCAAGTTCTTCAACATGAGACATGCATTTCTATTTTGTAAGTCAGCTAACTCTGTTCTTGTGAAAACACTGAGTACCAATTACATTGTCTTGATTCATTTTCTGGAGATAAAATTGTCCAGCCTTCTGAAGTGTCTTCATCAAGTTGAGAAATGTACCTCTTTTCATTTTTCTTTGAATACATGATGAAGATTTTGAATTTTGTAATTCTGTTTTTCCAAGCAGTTCTTCCACCATTACCTCATCTTAACCTATGGAGCAACTTATTTTTAGCCTCAAAACAAATTAATCCAAAGGTGTTAAGAGTATCTGATCCAAGTAGTTGTTCATTGAACTCTTTTTCAGATAAACTATTGACTTTTCTCTATTCTGCATGTAATTGCGGTTCTATAACCATATCTGATTAAGGGAGAAGTATGTAACATTCACATGACGGGGTTGTAGTAGCACTGAGGTCACAAGACATTTCAGGGAAGACTATAAGTTAGAGAGGTAAAGACAACAATAAAAATGTGTTTCTAATTTAGTATGTTCACAATAGTTTACACATGGGGCTGCAAGTAGAACATGTTGGAAACAGAATAAGTAAAACAAAAGCTTGAAAAAAGTTTCATTTCATGGATTGAAGCATTTTAGGGAAACTATTTGCTTTAAATGAATTCCAAGGTCCCGCAACAAAAATATGAATCTTTCCTCCATTTCTCAGTGGTTGGAGCAAGGGAAATGTGGACAGAGCAAAAATAGGCATAGGAAGAGCTTTGAAGTGTTTACATTCAACCAACCCTCTGTAGAAGACCAAGGATAAGTGGGTGTGAAAATATTCACCATTTGAGGGCCCGGCGCGGTGGCGCAAGTGGTTAAAGGTCCTCGCCTTGCACGCCCAGGATCCCATATGGGCGCCGGTTCTAACCCCGGCAGCCCCGCTTCCCTTCCAGCTCCCTGCCTGTGGCCCGGGAAAGCAGGAGGACGACCCAAAGCTTTGGGACCCTGCACCTGCGTGGGAGACCCAGAAGAGGCTCCTGGCTTCGGATCGGCATAGTATCGGCCCGTTGCGCTCACTTGGGGAGTGAATCATCAGACGGAAGATCTTCCTCTCTGTCTCTCCTCTCTGTATATCCGCCTTTCCAATGAAAAAATAATAAAAATAAATCTTAAAAAAAAAAGAAAATATTCACCATTTGGCAAATTCTCACAAAAGGTTTTCTTTCAGCTCTCTAGTAACGCCTATTCTTGGAACCAAATTTTAAAAAGGGTATGCTCAGAGCCATCTAAAGAAATCTGATTAATTAGATAAGATTTGAGTGAGGTCTTAGTTTATATTTTCTTAATGATTAATGATGTTGTCTTTTCATTTGTGCATTTAGCATTTTGTAAAAAATTTGTAAGGTGTTAAAATTTTGTCCATCTTAAATTGGATTTTTTCTATTGAGTTTTGTTTTAATAAAATATATTCTGGTTAGGATGGTGTAGTGGCATTTCAAGCAAATCCTTTGTCTGCAGTGCAGACATCCCGTGTGAGTGCTGCTCTCAAGCTTGGATGCTCTACTGCTTTTCTCTTGCTCTGCTTTTTCAAGTCAATCAGTCAATATATACATATAATTTTTTTTTGAAAAAGAAATAGAGTTTTGAATTTAGATAGAATCAAGTTTGTGTTTTAAAGTTCTTGCTTTTTGTATTTCACTAAGAGACATCTTATCACTTGGCATTTTATTATATTTATTCCTATTTACATAAAGTGAACATATTCCATGTTTCTTGATACAGATTTAGGAGCATAGTGATACCTCCTACCTGTCCTCCTTCCTACCCCATTCTCCACCACAGTTGTCTGCTTACAGACAAAAATGGCACAGAAACACATGAACTGGAAATGTTGTGGAGCATGAAGGTGAATCATAGTTTTGAGCATCTAGATTTCCTTGCATGTTATCATGAAAACACTTAAGAGTGCTTAATTAGCAGGTAATGGAGTTTCAGGAGATGTTAAATAAATTGACCAAAGTTACATAGTTCTTAGTTTTGAAGAAAGAGTTTGTAAATGGGTTTTCTGACTAGTATTAATAGTAGCTTCTATTATGTAATACTTAACCTGTGTCGTTTATGTATCTGACAGGCTTCATTGTGGAGTCACTTAAACTAATCATCATGTAATGCTAAGGAGGTGAGGGAACCTGAGGTTTGGGAAGGCAACCCTGACCACACAGCCCTCTTCTGTGAGCTTTCCCTTCTTTGTTTTGGTTCTTGTAGGACTCATGCTGAAACGGTTGGGTTGCACATCTTTGGTATGTCAGTTGAAAGGTCTTACCTGCCCTGGTTAATAGTAGATAGCAGCTTCTGCAGATTAACATTTATGGCAAGATTGTGATCATTTCTTTTGTTTCAGGCCTCTGGTTCTGTGAGACCGTATCCTACCTAGGACATTGACTTAGGACCCTATAATAGAGAGCTTTTGGGTGCTTACAGTGTGTTTTTTACCATTGTAAACAATGTTTCAAAAAAATGCTACATCTTGATTTTGCATATTTGTGCTAGCTTTATCACCTGGAGAAGTTTGATTTTACAACATTTTTAAAGGACAAGGCATGTAGCTGAAATTATGGATTAGTATTCCATCACGGTTATTATTATTTCTGCTTAGAGCTGCATTTCCTAACCATTCCCTCCCTTTCTCTTTCTGTGTGTTTTATTGCAAAGCAAGACAATAACCTGTGCTCAATACATTGTAATATATAATTTACACCAGAAAAGTCTGTATGGGTCTTAGCATTCTTATTCTTTCTCTGCCTCACTTGGGCATCACACAAAGCAAAACAGGTTCAAACACACACTATTAGGATTAGAAAATCTTATGAAGAGGTCTGGCTCTCTGATATCAGACCTCCAAGGGAAAATTCTAGAATTCACCCTGCTTCCTTCCTCATTTCAAAGTAAACACATAACACACACACACACACACACACACACACACACACACACACACACACACCCTAGATTGTTCTATAAGAATGGGTGATTACTCAATCAAAATTTGAGTTACCTTTATGAAGGCTGTAAGATTTCTCATGGGAACAATGGGTCAGTATATTTGACATCTGAATCATTTAGATCATGAGGTCACTAAATCTCTCAAACAAATGGCTTGGGACCAACTCAGTTCTTGGCTCCAGTATGTAACATTAGTTTTCTCTTCGCTGAGATGCTTTCAGAGCAGAACTCAAATTATAACATTTCTGTGTTAGAGAGGTTGTAAACACAAGCTGCATTTCTGCTGTCTTTCAGGTTGTGGAGGCCCTGTCTAAGGTAACAGAGATGAGATGGGCTGACAAGGGACTGTGAGCCTTCATCACTCCTCAGTTGGAGATCTAATCCAGGACAGCAGGCTTCCGAAGGTAGGGGATACGTATGTGTTTCCCATGTGTACACATATGCAGATGATTTTAAGAAAACCAATTACCAATCCATTCTTTTCTCCATCTGTATTTTTCTTTTTAACATTCCCAAGGAGTAATCTGTCTTTACATTTACTCCTTAGCAGGATAGTCTGTCCCAGAATATGAAAAATGAGTTAATATAGTAATATAGTAAAATGAATGAATATAGTTACTTATTTATTTGAAAGGCAGAGTTATATATACTTAAGGTGTGTGAAGGGTACTTGGGTACACTTTAGGGATAGGTAGACAAGAGAGCTTGAAGGCTGCTGGTATGAGAGGCTGGCTCATTCCTGGCCTCCAGGAGGGCAGTTGTCCCCTTGGTGAAAGTGTTTTGTTGATGGCCTGATGTGTTTTTGTAGGTAGATAGCTGATTCATTGGTTGCCTGCCATGTACTTGTTCATAGAGACAGCTCACCAACTACCTGCTGTGTACTTATCTGGGATGGGTGACTTGCTTGATGACCTATGGAGTGTTTATACATGGGCATATGACTCACTATCCACTGTGATTTGTTTATGTCCAGGTCTAAATCCACAGGAAATCAAGTGTAAGTTTTATCTGTGGGTATTGGTAAATGGATCTCAGACAATTTGGTGGGTCTTCAAAAGCTGTCTATTTACAAAATTAAACATGGGTGAAAAAGAGCCTGTATTGATATCATATCTTTTCAGATGTTTTGAATTTTGAACAGCACAATATAAATGCAGCTCTACTCTAGAAAAATTATGAACATTATGATAGTTTCTTATTGTTAGTACTTCAAAGCATTTTCACGAATAGTTCATATGTATGTACCTTTTAACCAACCTCTTTTTCTCTGTGAACACATTGTGATAAAAAATAAACATTTTAAAACATTAGGAGCTTTTGTTGACTGTATATCTTTTTTTTTTTTGCTTGTTACTATTGAGAATGTTCATTTTAACAAATTTTTCTATTTATCTTCAGTATTTGAGGAGGTTTAGCAATGTGTAAGTTAAAGAAAGAGCATGGTTTGGTGTCAGCTAGCCCTCAAATGCAATTTTTGCCATACAGCTGCAAAGGAAGAAAGGCACCAGAAAAAATTAGTTTAATTAATTATTTTTTTTAAAAAAAAATCTGTCCTGAATGCAAAACATAGATATGAGATGTGAAAGACTGAGGATATAGCAAAAATGGAAATGAAAGTAATCTCTGGTTATAATTTTAGAAAGGCGAAAGCCTAAATAAGCTGGAATTTTCAGAACATTCTGACAACTGTGAAAAAAAGTCAAAGTGTTGTAATGAGTAGCAGACTGTGTGGGGGCATGTAAAGAATAGTGGAATTGTTGTTTTGCTCTTGCTTTTTCTGATTAAGAGGAAGATCCTTGGGTAGAACAAATGTTAAGAGGAAACTGAAGCCCTAGGAAAAGGTAGCAGGGTCTATCTGTTCTAAATTAGTTTAGGACTTTGAGATGATTTATCCCAAAATACTGTAAGAGCTAGAGAATGACCCTGATGAGCAATTGTGATGACTGTTGGAGTATTAGAGATGAGCAAGCCAAATTCAAATTTTTTAAAATAAGAAAAACATAAGTTCATTAATATCAAAATAAATTACAAGTATCCATATGTATTTCTGGCCCCAGGCACTGTACTGGGGACTGAGACAATGCTAATAGATGAATAGACACTGTTCTGACTTGTCAGTGGGAGGTGGCAGTACAGAGAGACTGCCATGTGAGAAGTTTGACAAGGAAAGTCCAGAGATGAGAGCAGCAGTTTGGGCATACCTCCCAGACTGTGAACCATAATCAGAAAGTTCCAGCCAGTGTTCTAGAACAGATCATCAAAGGGCTGACTTGAGAAATAATAAAGCAGAGGTCACTGGGACTATATTATATAATATCATCTACCTTTCTTCTTTCCTTGATAGGAGATTGACAGAAAAACAATGCGATCATTCAGTAAGAAATGAAGAATGCTCTTAGCATTTAACGTATACCAGATACTGATATAGGCTCTTAGAGATGCAGTACTGACGCAAAGAATAAGTGTGCATTTCAGCATCACATATATTAAAGATGGAGGGATGAAGAGAGTAAAATCCCTGTGCTTGGGCTTGTGTTTAGCCTCATGGAAAAGGATGGCTTTAGATGACCTCATTCCACAGTAGAATGCCAGGGCTCCGTACTTGGCTCTGCTCCTGACTCCTGCTTACTGTTAATGTAGATTCTAGGAGGCTGAGTCCATTCCACCCATGTGGAGACCTGTATTGTGCTCCAGGCTCTCGGTTTGTTAAGGCCCAGCAATGGCCATCATAGGCATTTGAGGGAGCGGGTTATTCTCTCTATATATTCCCTTCTCAAATAACTATAATATCAAGATACACTTAAATAGCAGAATAATGGACTTATGACTGTTTTTGAAGGACTATTCTATTGCAATAATATAGGGGAAGTTTGTTGGGGGGAGGGCAGTTGAGGAGGGAGGAATCCCAGAGCCTATGAAACTATATCTTAAATTTTAAAAAAAAAGATAGTAAAAAAGAATTTTAAAAAGATTTATGTATTTTTATTGCAAAGTCAGATATATACATAGAGGAAGCTCTTCCATCCGATGATTCACTCCCTAAGTGACCACAGTGGCCGGTGCTGCGCCAGTCCGAAGTCAGGAGCCCAGATCCTCTTGCAGGTCTCCCATACGGGTGCAGGGTCTCAAAGCTTAGGGCTATCCTCGACTGCTTTCCCAGGCCACAAGCAGGGAGCTGGATGGGAAGCAGGGCTGCCGGGATTAGGACTGGTGCCGACATGGGATCCTGGCGCGTGCAAGGTGAGGAGTTTAGCCACTAGGCCACGCTGCCAGGCCCATTAAAAAAGAAATTTAAAAAAGGAGAGAGAATAATAATGAAAGAAATAATAATAACAACAACAAATCCCTCTGCCATCCAGTGATAGATTCAGACAACACATTAGCGAAATATGTAGAATTTGCATTATAATAGTATAGATAGGTTCGAAAAGTTAGAGCGCCGAATCCTAACCACTAAAATCTTATTTGTTTAAGAGATTGAGTATTAGATAGTGTGATCAAGCAAAGTCTTCCTGGAAAGGGTGACTCTGAAGCAAAAGTGAAAATCGAGGGAGGATGTTGACCATGTGGCTATCCAGGAGGAGAGTGTTTTAGCCTAAGAGAAGATACAGTGGTTCCGATGTGGAAATCAGGTGACACAGTCAGAGACTGCCGTGCTAGGCTGGAGTCATCCAAGTTGAAAATAGTAGGAGGGAAATTAAAAAAATGTATCTGAGAGCCAGATCACATCAGGTGTTATAAATCATTGTAGAACCTGTTTCTAACCCCAGCAGAGGTGATGTTTGGGTAATGAACGATGTGATTGAATGATGTTTTCAGAATCATCCTGACTGAAGAATGAGGTGTAGGATGAGGAAATAAGGGTGGGAGTGGAAGGCAGTTGCTACTGACTGGTACCTGGATTGTGTCTGTGGTCATACTGACGGATGATATGCTTTTTAGTATATTTTGATGTCAGAGTTCCAAGATTTGCTGATGGATTAGGGGTGAAATGTGAGATAGAAAAAGGAGTCAACTATAATACTAAGAGTTTTATCTTGAGGGAATGGAAGAAGAGAGTTTTCATTTTTTGAAATACAAAGGCCACAAAAAGTCCCAGTTTGAAGTGATGATGGGGACAGTTATCAGATCAGTGTTTGTTACATTAGTTTGGAAATATTATTAGATAATCAAGTGGAAGTGTTGAGTAGGAAAAAAAATCTCCAGGCCTGATGTTAGGAAAAGCGAACTGGGCTTCAGGAATCAGTATGTGAATGTTCCAGAAGCTGATTCTAGATGTGATCATGTAGGATTGTGTGGGAATGGCTGGGAATGAAGTCCAAGGACCTAATTTTGGGATTCTTCAAAGTCCAGATGTCAATAAAATAAAGAGAGGGCTGGCACATTGGCACAACTGCCTAAGCCTTCATATTCAAGTGTGGCATCCCCTATAGCGCCAGTTCTTGTCCTGGCTGCTCCAATTCCCATCCATCTCCATGCTTATGGCCTGAAAAAGCAGCAGAGGATGGCCCAAAGCCTTGGAAAACTGCACCTGTGTGGGAAACCTGGAAGAAACTCCTGGCTCCAGGCAGTGAATCAGCTCAGCTCTGACTGTTGTGGCTACTTGGGGAGTGAACCAGCAGTGAAACAGATAGAAGGTCTTTCTGGCTCTCTTGCTCTCTATAAATCTTTTTCTCTTTTTAATAAAAGATTTATTTTATTTTCATCACAAAGTCAGATATACACAGAGGAGGAGTGATAGGGAAGAAAATCTTCTGTCTGATGATTCACTCCCCAAGTGATCACAACGGCCAGTGCTGTGCCAATTCAGAGCCAGAAGCCAGGAAATTTCTCCTGGTCTTCCACGTGGGTGCAGCGTTCCAAGGCTTTGGGCCATCTTCAACTGCTTTCCCAGGCCACAAGCAGGGAGCTGGATGAGAAGTGGAGCTGTTGGGGTTTAGAACTGGTGCTCATATGGAATCCTGGTGCATTCAAGGTAAGGACTTTAGCTGCTAGGCTACCACGCCAGGCCCTAAGTCTTTATTTCTAATAAAAATTTTAAAAATATTAAAAAAAAAGAAATGAAGAGGAATTCAAGGAGAAGCCTTCTAAAATGTAAGTGAAAACTCAACTGGATATGTGGATATAGCTTCCTGTAAACCAAATCAAGAAAGTTTTGGGAGGGTGAGTAGGAGATCAGAGAAAGGCAGTAGATATGAAGTACCTGGACTTTAGCAAAGTGAAAATATCAGCAACAAAGCAAGAAAAAAAATATTGAGGGGAAAAAAAGAATTGGATTTGTAGCAACTGACCAGTTGTATTCAAGAAATTATTATTTATGGCATAGTAGCCAATATATCTACAAAGAAAAAAATATGAGCAAGAATCTAGACTGAATGGTTTGTGACCATTTTGAAAAGGAGAC